TGGTACGTATTCTTTCGTAGCATGGATTTTTTTAATGACCTGAGAGAGATTTCAAGAAATAGCAAATCAAAAAGCAGGGGGATTCTTACGTCCTTCACCTTGGCTGGTAACTAGCGACCCCTGCTGACTGAGTGCGGGATTACGCATTAGAGTGGGCCTGCCCTGGATCTGGGGGTGGCGCTACTGGACAGGACAAGGCCATGGCTGACTCCATGTATTCAGACTTGATAGCCAGGCATTACAACTTCACCGGGAAACTGCGGAAAGTGGAACAGGACTCTGGTCTCAAGGCGGACTCTGTGATCTTCATTATTGTGTGTTGCTTTATCATCATGGAGAACATGCTGGTCCTGATCACCATCTGGAGGACCAAGAAGTTCCACAAGCCCACGTACTATTTCATTGGCAACCTGGCACTGTCGGACCTGCTGGCCGGGGTGGTGTACACTGCCAACATCCTGCTCTCGGGGGCCAACACCTACAAACTGACCCCCACGCAGTGGTTCTTCAGGGAAGGCAGCATGTTCGTGGCCCTGGCCGCCTCCGTCTTCAGCCTGCTGGCCATCGCCATCGAGCGGCACCTGACCATGCTGAAGATGAAGCTGCACAACAGCGGGAAGACGTACCGCGTCTTCCTGCTGATCAGCGCCTGCTGGTGCGTTGCGGCCGTGCTGGGCGGCCTGCCCATCATGGGCTGGAACTGCATCGGGGCCATGCCCAGCTGCTCCACCGTCCTGCCGCTCTACCACAAGACCTACATCCTCTTCTGCACCACCGTCTTCAGCGTCATCCTCATGGCCATCGTGGTCCTGTACGCCCGCGTCTACGTCCTGGTGCGCACGCGCAGCCGCAAGCTGGTCCTCCACAAGCCCCCGGCGGCCGGCGGCGGGGGTGGCGGGAACGGCCGCGGCGGCAGCAAGAGCTCGGAGAAGTCGCTGGCGCTCCTGAAGACGGTGATCATTGTGCTGAGCTGCTTCATCGCCTGCTGGGCACCCCTCTTCATCCTGCTGCTGCTGGACGTGGCCTGCGAGATGGGCGAGTGTGCCATCCTCTACAAGGCCGAGTGGTTCCTGGCACTGGCCGTGCTCAACTCGGCCATGAACCCGCTCATCTACACCCTCACCAGCATGGAGATGCGCCGCGCCTTCCTCCGCACGCTCTCCTGGGGCGGGGTCTGCGCCCGGCCCACCCTCAAGGTCAAGCGGCCCTTCGTCGCCGCCGAGTTCAGCCGCGGCCCGTCGGACAACTCCTCCCACCCCAACAAGGAGGAGGCAGAGTCGTCGCTCCGGGAGACCGCCGCCTCCTCCGGGAACACCAACTCCTAGGCTCCGGCTCACAAGTGCATGTGCATCTCAACATGTGTGTGTGTGTGTGTGTGTGTGTGTGTGTGTGTGTGTGTGTGTGTGTGTGTGTGTGCACTTTGGACCTTTTCCTTACGTATAACTTTTTGAAAATATTTTCACAGAAATGTGAAAAGGCATGCCTTAAGTGCTGCCACAGACCAGAGGGAGACAGAAGGAAGGAGAGAGAGAGAAAAAGCTAAACTGGAAGGAAATATATACATTCATCAATATCATACTTGAACTGTAAACTTTCTTCCGACCTGAAGGACTGCCAGCACAGAGGTGTTCAATAAGCAATTAGTACATGTTTTGAATATCATATTAATCAGTATTATTTTTCAAACTCACTTTTTACAATAAAAAGAAGCAAAACTGTTTCAATCCAAGGATTTATGTAGCACAGCACTTGTTGTACAAGCATAAGATGTAGACATTATTGACACTAAAATTTGTTGTTGAAAGAGTGAATCTAGCCTATAGTTATGAAGAATTATTGCTGTTATTGAAATATTTAAGAAAGACAATTAATTAAGTCTGAATATCTCTGACATAACTATGGTCCTGTTCCTTGTATATTGTGCCCCTGCTGGAGAATGTATTTTGTACATAATTTTGTTTATTTGTAATTACTTTACCCGTACTTTGATTTAACAACACATAGTTAAAATGACTATTTCTTTCTAAAGGTTTAAACATTTAAAAGTTCTTTTGTCTGAAAGTGATCATATGATGGTGGAAAAGTGATGGAGCTTGACTTGCTTTCCACAGCCATGCTTTGACTGTCCATGCTGTTGTAATTACCTGGTTATTTTTGTAAAATGTCTGAATCTTGTAACACTAGTTTACACCTTATCCATAATAATACCATACTGTTTGACTTCAGGTGAGAGAAGATCCATTGCAGTTTCACTGCTAATATGTGTAGCTCTGTGGGTTTTCCATGTTGATTTCACTTACTTGCACATCTAAATATTTGCTTAATGTTTGTTATTTTATTAGGTGTTAATAAAAATTAAACTGGAAAAAGCTCAGGTCTAAATGCTTACTATACCACAGCAGTGTTAGATACAGTTTCATTAGCTGGGTCTGGATGTTCTATAGCCAAGCTGTCACTGGTAAGATGGAGACTGCAGAAGTGTTTATGTATGAACAGTTATGTATTTTTATTCCCTCTTTTCATCTGTTCATGCTACCCTTTTTGCATTATTGCTCTTTCCTTTGCATTATTCCTTTTCTTTGGGTTCATTTCCACCATTTGCTTTTAGATTTGAGGATCACAGCCACTGAATCTGGTATGTCCTTAACGGTTATTACATATTATTCTGACACCTGCATGTTATTTATAATAGAAGTTTGAGCCTAGTTGTATAGTGTGCATGTTAAATCCCTCTCCCATTCCTGTGGAGAACTGCCTGTGAACACAAGCCAGAAATCAGACCTGCTACCTTCAGCTGCTTGTAAGACAAGGGTCATACAGAGTGCAACAGAGATTGGGTCTTGACTTTGTGAACTGCATACTGTTTAACCGTCATCCACTGCCTGACTGATACATAAAATTGCAACTGAGGCATATACCATATCTAACAAAATAAACACCTGTATTAAAGTGTAAATGTAGAGAACATAAAGCCATCCGTTTCAAGGAGAGGTGACGGTCCTTATCAGCTGGCAGGAACTAGCACTTGCAAAGCATAGCGAACAAAAATATTCATTTCAAAAATGGTAGCAGAAGAAAACGTTTCACAGGTTGTTCAGAGCTGCGCCGTAAACGGCTCTGCACTGCGTGTCTAGCTCAGCTATCGACGATTCATCATCCGATTGCTCTGCACTGAGCCGCTCCAAATAATACTGGCGCGCTCCATTCCCCATTAATTGTGAGCTATATAACTGTTCATAATAAAGTCATAAAATACTACTAATAATGTGTGGATCCTTTGATATATCCGGCTGAAACAGTGAACAACCTCTGTTCTTACTTTCTGAGTGTCAATTAAATTCGAAACTTGTATGATTTCTCAAATGAAAATGAAAATAGTAACAATCAGTCATAATTAAATTATGATACTTTACATGTAAATTGATTTATTACCCACACTGTTAACACTTTAACTTGTGTGTTGGATGATTCAGTAGTTTAAATAAAATTATTTTGATTTCTGAAGAACCATTACTCGTTTCTACGAAAGGCATGCATGAACGAAACTTTGATATGTAAATGAAAAGTGTTAAACTACTTTGAACTTACCATGGCGTGTCGAAACCTGCCTGAATTAGCAGGAATTTTAAATATAAAAATTGAATCTCTAAGACGCTACACCCAGATTACTGTCGAGTATCTGTGCGCACACCGACTTCATTTAATCTCCTCAGCCTTTTTAAAGATCAGCGAATTGAACAAGTTTTTCCCGCAGATGTGCACTGATGACTACTCATCTCAAAAGGCAACGCGGAACACTTCAGAATTTAACTGCACTGCAGTGTGCCAGATGTCCTCCGTGCTCCGTGGGATTGAGCAACGTCATCGTGACTCGAAAGCAAATTCACTCGACAGTTGTGTGTCGGTTATGCGGAAGCCGCCCATAACTTTCGATGAATGTGTTGTCAACATCCCAAAAATGTTTGTTCTCCCAAATTAGGAAGGTGGGGCGGAACTACCAATCCCAGAATGCTGTAAAAAATATTTCCTTCGTTCTATAAGGCATGCTGGGATTTTAAGTTCAGTCATTCCTGTCTGTATCGCTTTCCCTCTATTCCAAAATCTCTAGAAGAACAGCACTTCCCGAAAACCCACGATTTTGGCAGCAGTTTGGCCCGCCCCCTGTCATGGAAGTGTGTGAGCTGCGAAAGGGAATAGCCAAAACATTTTTTGAATATCTTAAATATTTAAACATGCACGCGAAATATAAATATGTATATTCCATGAAGTTGTGGTTTAGCGTGGAGCTCAGGCCGGTGTAAGAGTGTTGCATTCCTTAGATTTAGCAGACAAAATTTGGAGCCAAAGTAGCCATCACGGAGTGACGGGAGTGTGATCGGGTATCCGAGGCTTCGACGGATCACCGTCCTGCACTTCGGCGGTTCGACCGACGAGGGGAGCCCCGGCGCGGCTGCAATGTCTGGACATCATCGGGTGACAGAACACGAAGCTAGCTAACGTTAGCTAACATATCGGACAGTAAACATAGTAAGTGAAATGACGACAGATGATTCACACAAAATTGTTTTTCAGTAGTGTCTTAATGTCGCCGTATTTGATGGCTCCCTAGTTTGCTGACGAAGACTTCAATCACAAGCTAGCTAGCTGGCTAACTACCCTGGCTCAGCTGCTTTCCACCAATTGAGACAGGTAAGACAGGAAACTTCAAGCAACTCTGCACTACAGCTGACTGATTTACTTGGAGTATACTTTCATAGATTTAAACTAGGTGTCTTAGTTTTAAGTCTGTAAATTCAATGGGAAGTTTGAATATTTTGTGATGTTTTTCCCAAAAATCTTCAGGATAGGTGCGGCGCTACATTGTATGTACCTCCTAATAAGTCCTAATAGCAAGTTTTGAACGAACTTATTTAGTTTGCAGAGCATGTAAGCTATTAGTAACGCCATTAAGTCAGCAAGTTCCGGAATCAGCAGATTAATAGTAAAGTATTGTGTATGTAGCCATTGTGGCATACTGGTAAGGCGCAGGGCTTGTAACCAAAAGGTTGCTGGTTCGATTCCCCGCATTGGTACTGCTGTTGTACCCTTGGGCAAGGTGCTTAACCAACAGTTGCCTTAGTAAATGTTCAGCTGTATCCAGTCTGTAAATTGCTCTGGATAAGGGTGTCTACTAAATGATAATAATGTAATAAAGAGCTATTCTTTGTACTTAAGAATAGTTTCCATGCTTGTGTGCAGCTGATCTGAGGGCATTGTGTGTCTGAATTGATCTCTTCATTCTTTTTGTGCATGTCATTCAGTGTAGCGTGGAGCAGGCAGGATGGAGCGAACAGACAGCATCCAGCTGGACATCCCGGACTTCAGCAACTCAGTGCTATCTCACCTGAACCAGCTGCGCATGCAGGGGCGTCTTTGTGACATCGTGGTCAACGTGCAGGGCCAGAGCTTCCGCGCGCACAAGGTGGTGCTGGCGGCCAGCTCTCCCTACTTCCGCGACCACATGGCCCTGGGCGAGATGAGCACGGTGTCCATCGGCGTGATCCGGAACCCGTCGGTGTTCGAGCAGCTGCTGTCCTTCTGCTACACGGGCCGGCTCTGCCTGCAGCTGGCCGACATCATCAGCTACCTCACCGCCGCCAGCTTCCTGCAGATGCAGCACATCATCGACCGCTGCACGCAGATCCTGGAGGGCATCCACTTCCGGGTCAGCCTGGCGGAGGTGGAGGCGGAGCTGGGCAGGGCCGGGGGGCGGACCCTGGAGCCCGGGAGGGGAGGGGCGGAGCTGGGAGGGCCCCGCCTGCTCAGCCCCCCGAGGAGCGGCTCCAGGGGTGTGGCCGTGCAGAGAGGTGCGGGGGGTGTGGGCTGCATTCGGGATGTGAGGGAGGCGCAGGAGGTCAGCCCCTTGAGGGAGTCCATGAGCCCACATATGGAGGAGCAGGGCGGGGCTGTGTCAGAGCGGGCCGGGGGGGTGGTGGGCGGGGAGCCCCTGCTGCGGATTAACAGGGCGGGGCAGTGGTACGTGGAGACGGGATTGGAGGAGGAGCGGGGGGGAGAACTGGGCGTGCTGCGAATCAAGACGGAGAGGCTGGAGGGGTGGGCGGGGCTGGGGGCGGAGACGCAGGCATCGGGGGAGGAGGGGAGTGGCGCAGAGGAGGTGGTCACCAAGACGACGGATTCCAGGAGGCACAAGGCGCTGGCACGGGAACGCATCCACACGGGGGCAGCAGCAGCCAGGACCTCTCAGCCCTCCAGCAGTCTGAGCGAGACAGGCAGGTGTGTGTGGGGGAAGGGGTGTGAGCGAGACAGGCAGGTGTGTGTGGGGGAAGGGGTGTGAGCGAGACAGGCAGGTGTGTGTGGGGGTGTGAGGCAGACAGGTGTGTGTGGGGGAAGGGGTGTGAGCGAGACAGGCAGGTGTGTGTGGGGGAAGGGTGTGGCACAGAATGGTGGAGGTTGAGGGACAGCAGTTTGAATCTCTGTGTTACTCTTAGTATTGGAATATTGGACTATTGGAATTTATTTCACATCACTTTTAATGGAAGACATGTTCCAGCGTTAAAAGTAGAATTTTGTTCATTCATTACTGCATACTCAGTATGCCACATGAAAAGATACCTGCCTGTGCAAGAGTGTGAGTCATCCAGTCAACCGTGTGTGTGAGTGATAGAGAGTCTACATGTCTAATGTTCTCTCTCTTTTTATCCTGGCTACATTTAGCCCATCATGCAGTGTGGTGGTGAGAGAGAGACCAAGAGCCAAGAGTGAGAGTCCAGGCGGAGTGCACCATCAGAGCCAGCCCATGTCTCAGGTACATTTACACACACATGATACACACAGACCTACATCTGTGTACCCTGTTATTGTGTACGGCAGTTCATTCGTAATTCCTGCATCCGCCCCCCATTGTGTTCTCCAGGGGGGGGAGCCGGCCGCGTTTGACGTAGGAGGGTACGAGGAGTACCTGCGCGAGCAGGTGGGTGACCGCTGGTTCCGCTACAACCCCCGGCTCACCTGCATCTACTGCTGCAAGTCCTTCAACCAGAAGGGCAGCCTGGACCGGCACATGCGGCTGCACATGGGCATCACGCCCTTCGCCTGCCGCATCTGCGGCAAGAAGTACACGCGCAAGGACCAGCTGGAGTACCACATCCGCAAGCACACGGGCAACCGGCCTTTCCACTGCCACGTCTGCGGCAAGAGCTTCCCCTTCCAGGCCATCCTCAACCAGCACTTCCGCAAGAACCACCCGGGCTCCACCCCCAACGAGGGCCCCCACAGCGCCTCCCCCGAGACCACCACCACCACCACCACCGCCGTGTCCTCCCGGGGGGTGCACAACGAGGATGAGTCCCCCCCTTACGGGGAGGCCCGGGCCGGCAGGAGGGACGGGGGCTCTTTTGGAGAGGCCGTCCAGCCGTCTGTGTCCACCACCGGTCCGGACTGATTGAGGAGCCCCAGGGGGTGGCAGGGAGGGGAGGGGTGGGGGCTGGGCCAATCAGGAAGGGAGGTGGATTTAAGGGGACTGGTTTGGTGCTCCAGTTTGTCTTCGGAAGACTGGGCTCCTTGGCTTTCTGCTCTCGAGGGGCAGGTGTGGAGATTAATGTTGGTGGAATCATGAGGTCAACAGTCTCTGGATCAGCTGATCTCTGAGTAACGTACTAAAAAGCGAGGACCTGCCTGATTCAGGATCAGTCGTAAAGCAGATGCTTTTCACGTCTGTCTTCTTATTCTTTCCCGTTTGTCAGGATTCAGTCACCCAGGAATTCAATTTGGATGCAAAAACAACTTTTTTTTTTTTTTACAGTACAGGGTATAACGGTAATCTTCAGGTGTATCTCACAAAACAAACATTCATCAGGTATACAATGAGCCACATATCCAATGAGCAACATGCTTATTCTACACTACCTTTTTTACGAACACATTTCTCTTTTGTTTTTTCTAAGGAGAGCTCCAGTAAAAATAGTTTTATCATAAGTATTGAGTGTTAACATGTTCAGAAAGGCATTTCAAACTATGTAAGCCCACATTGTGACCTGTATATGGCAGCTGGTGGTCCAGGCCGTACGAGCAGCCAGAGCTTTTCCTTAAAGTGAAAGGAGAAATACAAAACCCTGTGAAAAGCTACACACCTAAATGACAAATCATATGTCACAAGCTATAACTGTTAGATGTACAGCACTGTCATTTTAGCCCAGAGTTTTCCATTATTTCCATTATCGTTTTATCAGTGACTTGCTGTTTGATGCGATGAGTTTAAAACTTACTGATGACTCAGAATGATGCTTACTTAGGGCCACACCCACATTCTTAGTTTCCTTAGTTCCAGTTACATCATCAGCAGCTGGGCGGGGTCATCAGGGTCATGTATCACACATATGAAACACATCAATAACCTCAGGCTGCAGTGGCTACAGTTACACCAGCGTAAACAGGCTGGAGCCATGGAAAGGTCACATGATCCATATTCATCCTTATGTACAGAATGTGGTCATTGGAACACCTTTTATTTTAACAAGCTGCTGGAACAATTTTAGTATGTCATACAAACAAAGAAACTACAAGCTGAAGATAAGCTAACTAACTATGAACCGCTGGTTTCAGATACCTCACACACTCACAAATGACCAGACACAAACCACGCAATACCACCCTGATACAAGCTAATCAGGGCATTTTGCACTTTTGCAGTTTTTCATTTCTTTTCTACCGCTTTTTCCAAAGGTCTAGGGTTTTACTTTACATGTGACTATTTCTTGTACCTCCGTGTGCTTGAGTTTCTTCAGGGGAGAGGGATGGGTCCCCCACAATGAATCTTGATGAAACCGCACAGCAAGAAGACAAGGAATTATTCCTGAACCAAAAAGGAGAGGTCATGGAATGATAGCAAAGATGAACTCCATTTGTTTGGACCTGCTGCCTGTGTACTACTGTTATTCTGGCTGTTGGTGTTATTTGAACAACTTGACAAAAAAGAGGTCTGTGAAGGCAGAGCCCACAGCAGTATGGGATGAAGTGTGGAGCACCATGGGAAGACATCTTGCCATCAGGAGGGAGGGGCTCTGCCAGTCACATGACTCATGAGATTGAGTCACATGAGATTGACAGGTTAATTCCTGCTGAAATTCAATCAACAAATCTGAGGAATAACCCTGAAATTTTTTTATCCTTTACTGGCATTGTGATGTATAGCACTTAAAAGAAACAGGAGACATCAAAAATTGATTTTTGATAACAGATATGCTACAGAGAGAAATACACATATTTAGGCAAATCTTTCTTTGGACAGGAAGATTTTTTCCAAAAAAAAATTAACAAAGAAGAAATGATATTGTAGCACATAAGTTGGACTGTTACAGATTGTTTTTTACTGGACTGTGAATCATATTTAGGTGTTTTAAATGTTTTTATGGCTGGGGTTAAAAAACAGCTACTGATTTGTTTTCTATTCATTTTTAAATGATGTTTGTGTCTCACTTTGTCTGCTGGAGAGCTGTGATGTCCATACACTTTTCTAAGCACTTAAAAACAAACCACAGGTCCTCAAAACTTGCCAAGAAACTCACTCACTTACAATACTGCATCACAATGCAGATATCAGGTATTGTTGTTTTTTATTGTTGGTACTGTTTCTTACGGATTAAGCTTTGGAATAGTCTTTCTGTATGTATGGGGAAATCTTATATTGCATGTACTTCATTTTTAATGCGTGATTAAAAAAATGGCTCCTATATATATATTAAATATTACAGTATCTTTCAAAGTGGGAAATGCGTAGAGTCAGAGTATGAAATTAAGAGGAAAAAAATGATATACACGTGGGTTTTACATGTGTGAAACTGCTGGGTTGCTCAGAGTTATCCCCAATAATCCCAGTATCAGGACTAAGCCATGTCTTAGATATATGTATCAAGGGATGACAAAGGTGGTAAAAATGGATACTCTTCTTAACATGTTGCTTTGCTTTCCAATGAGATTAAATGCACCATCAGTGGAAAAGTTATTTCTTAAAAGAATATGCAAAATGCCATGGATCCCTTTTTACTTACTTCCCTCCTGGAAAAATATACTGAAT